CGAGTACGGATACGCTCGAGGTTGAGCTCTGAGAGAGGCTCTCGAGGAATGATTGCGAGGTATACAACCTGCTATCAATTTTGCCGCAAGGGCAGAGGATGCTCGAACCGGTTCCGGAGCCCTCTTATATAAACATCGCAAATGTTTTCTTCTTACGCGAAAGCGTAAATGTTCGGCGCCACCAAGCGGCGGATAGAGAAACTCGGCGCGCGTTTATTTGAAAATGGTGGCGGCTCGTTGCCGCGTAATTAAATGCATAGCAACGATAATTCCGCCACAATATATATAATAAATGTTATATTATAGCATTTTCAAATATACATTTTCGTAAGCAATTAATATTTTTCAAAAATAAGACCCCAGACACGGATGCAATTTGGCGATTTTTTGCAGTCAGGTTAGTTGCAAGGAAGGCAGTCACATTGCCCACGTGATCTACGTCCTCATACGGCATACGTAGACGTGGGTCACATGAGCAATATGGCTACAAAACGCGTCACTGCTAGACACGTTTGTATGCGCTCTCCGGCGCATACAAACGTGTCTAGCAGTGACGAGTTGCATTAAGCCGTGGTTTTGTATAGCCCATGCTTTGTCAAAGCCGCGAATCATATGACCAAATTATTCTGTTTCCTACATAGAAACTAACACGAACGGTAGGCTTGCCGAGCTTTGACGAGCCACGCGTTGTGGGCCCAGCTTTGTACGTACGGATAGCCATTTGTGTATGTACGGACGTACAAAAAAATTGTGAAGGTTTCTGACAAAATTATCTTTTGTAATTTTGAGATTTAAGAGTACTGTTATACGTTTTTGGTTAATCTGGCCGTTGAATTACTTATGGTCAAATCGTAACCTGTGATGGCACTGAACGCCAATTGAAAGAGAAGAAGTATTATATGTAAAAAAAGTGGTATGTGAAAAGTGTCATACCGGCTTCGTCATTTCGATATGGATGAGAGTTGTAGGAATGCACTGAAACGTATGAAACTATCGCATCTTATTGCATTATTTGAAGGTATGTATAATAAAGAGGTTATATCCATACAGCACACTTTATCAAAGGAACGTTCAGAGGACGTCCTTAATTAGGTCGTACAGAATTTCCTCTGGATGTCCCTCGGATAATATGCTATATGGGTATCTGGAAATAGAATTGTTTAGAAAGTTTTGATAACATATGCTTGATATAAATTTTTATATAAACTGTATTTAATTAGTGTTTCTCTCAGAGTTGTTAAACTATTATATATATTTTACTTCGCTCTTTATTTTTTTTTAAATTTTATACTGTTTTAATAGAAATAATTTTTATGAATTTTGAGCGTCTGAAGAATATGAAATTATTTTGTCCATATTTACAGAAAAACAAATTGATTATGAAACTTTACAGTTGTTTCACGAGTATCCCGATACAATTCCATCTATTATAAGTAATATAGGCGATCAACTAAAATTAAGAAAAGGGATAAAGTCCATTCTTGAGGTTTGTATAAAGTGATTCTAGAAAACAAATTTAGTTAATGGTGAACAAGTAAAATAGGCAAATCTTTTTCTGTATTTGTATTATTTAGTTTAATTCTGCTTCTTTTTACTGTTAAGGAAAATGAGATCATAAGAGAGCAAATTATAGATACGATTCTAGATATACCAGTGGTTTCACCTTCCACTTCAACAAGTCAATTTTTAGAACCATTAGATTGAGCTTCAGCAATAACATCACATGAAATTGAGACATTAGCGGCAGAAGCAATCACAGGGGAAAGATTATATTTAGAAGAAGTGGAGCACAATAATCCAATAATACAAGAAGATAAGAATCCTGTGGAAAATGTAATTTTTTTTCGTTAATTTTTCCAATATAATAATGTGATAGATTAGAATGATTTAATAAATTAGATTCTTGCATTATATTAATACGAGACGTTGATCAACTTGACAAGATTTCCTTTAATTTTTAGTATATTTATGGGATTCTTCAAAAAACAGCACTTGGAAAGGCCATATTTGAACTCTATAGGCAATCTGTCTTAGACAATAATGCACGATGTAAATTAGCCGAATTAGTCATACAAGCGGAGTATGGTGCAGACACTAACAAAACGTAAGTATTAGTGTTTAATAAAGGTTTATTTTTAACATCATATATAATAAAATAAATTATAAGCTATATTGTGATGTACTATGAACATTTTATATATGATCTTGAATTTTTCTTTGATTTTATATTGCACAATTGATCTTTATTTCTATGATGTTATATATATGTTGTTCTTGCAGGATTTGTGGCAAAAGATTTGTGCAATTAGCAAAGTGGACTGTTGAATGTTTCCCTACAGAATTTGTTGTAAGTACATACGTTTACTTTATGAATTTGTTACTTTCATTTATATTTTTGACATTAACTGTTGCGCAGGAAACTTATTACATTCCATCAAGTGAACGAGGGAAAGGACGCTCTGCTGCCGGCAAGTTATATGATGCTTATACAAATCTAAATAAAGAACTTAGGAAGGTTAACTTGAGAAAAATTATTTCTGGCAAATCCTCTCGATTGCCATCTTCAGAATTAAA